TTTTTATTAAAACAAAAATTTGATACCTTCCAAAATTTTAAACAATGGAAAACTATGATTGAAAATCAAACTGATAAGAAGATCAAGGCACTAAGGACTGACAATGGCCTTGAATTTTGTAATCTGGAATTTGGTTCTTTTTGTAAAAAATCTGGAATATTAAGGCATAGAATTGTGACATACACCCCTTAGCAGAATGGGGTAGCTGAAAGAATGAATAAGACCCTTTTAGAAAAGGTCAAATGTATGTTACATAGTTCAGGGCTTCCAAAATTCTTTTAGGGAGAAGCCCTAAAAACTACAACCTTTTTGATAAATAGAAGTCCTTCTAGTGCCATTAACTTCCAAATCCCTAAAACACTGTGGTCAAATACTTCACCAGATTATAGTAGACTTAAAATCTTTGGTTATGCTGCTTACTCCCATCAAAATGAAGGTAAACTTGAACCAAGATCTCAAAAATGTGTTTTTTTGGGATATGGGGAAGAAACTAAAGGGTACAGGCTTTGGCTTAAGAGTCAAAAGGGTTTTAAAGTGATCATTAATAGAAATGTTATTTTCAATGAGAATGAGTTTCCTTGCAAAATACAATCTGAAACTGAACCTACTGGATCTATACCTGTGAAAGAAACTGTTCTTGAAAATCCAGAAGATAATACTAATGATCAAAATGATTTTATTGACGTGGAGACTTCCCAGTCTGATATTAATCAGGATCTGAGTGAACCTGAAACTGAGACTGAATTTAATAATCATTCTCTCACTAATTACTAGCTAACAAGAGATAGAGACAGAAGAAATAGGATTCCATCCAGCAGATATAATAGTGATGAATTTGTTACCCTATTTTCTGTCCTAAATTCTCTAAATTCAGAACCGGCCACCTTTGAAGAAGCTATAACCTGTACTGATTCCAAGTTATGGAAAGATGCTATGAATGAAGAAATTGACTCCTTAATCAAAAATAAGACTTGGATCCTTGTCAACAAACCTAAAAACCAAAAGGTTGTTGACTGTAAGTGGATTTTCAATATAAAAAAAGGAGATCCTACCGCTGAAAGTAAAAGATACAAAGCAAGACTTGTTGCAAAGGGGTTCACTCAAAAGGAAGGAATAGATTATAATGAAATCTATTTTCCTGTTGCTAAATACACTTCTATAAGAATTCTTCTTGCCTTAACTGCTCATTTTAATTGGGAGCTTGATCAATTGGATGTAAAAACAGCCTTCTTAAATGGAGACCTTGAGGAGACTATTTATATGAGTCAACCAAAAGGTTATGAGGTAAAATCAACTGTGGAAAATGTATGTTTGTTAAAGAAATCCTTCTATGGCCTAAAACAGGCCCCCAGACAATGGTATAAAAAATTTAACTCTTATGTTCTGACTTTGGGTTTCATTAGGAGCAGTTATGATTCTTGTTTCTTTTTCAAAGGATCAGGTGTACCTGAATCTATTTATCTACTTTTATATGTAGATAATATGTTACTTGCATGCCTTAACAAATCTGAAATTGATGCTATTAAAGCAAAGTTAAAATCTGAATTTGAAATGAAAGACTTAGGGCAAGCTAAGAGAATTCTTGGAATGATTGTACATTAATTCTAAGACAATCTGCTTATGTGCATAAGATATTTGAAAGGTTCTCCATGCTTGATTGCAAACCTGTTTCTTTACACTTTCCAACCATTTTAAATTGTCTACTGAACAATCATCAAAGATTGATAAAGAATGGAAAGAATTTCTTATGCTAACACTGTAGGATCTGTTATGTATCTCATGGTATGTCCTAGACCAAATTTAGCTCATGATATAAGCATATTAAGTCGATTTATGTCTAATCCTGGTGAACTACATTGGCTTGCTATGAAATGTATATTGAAATATCTGAAAGGAACATCTAATTTGGGCCTATTGTTTAAAAGATGTGATGATGACATAATTCTAAAAGGCTATACTGATTCAGACTTTGCTCGTGATTTAGATAAAAGGAGATCAACTTCACCTTATGTTTTCACTTTGTGTGATAGTTGCATTAGTTGGAAATCACAATTGCAAAAGCTAGTGGCTTTATCATCAACAGAGGCAGAATATATAGCTACTTGTGATGCTGTTAAAGAAAGTCTTTGGTTGAGAGGTCTTCTGAATGAATTTGGCTTTATAAATAGCTCTGTCAAAATTTATACTGATAATCAAAGTGTCATCCATCTTAGCAAAAATCCAATGTATCATGATCGCACAAAACACGTTGATGTTAAATTCCATTTTGTTAGAAATATGGTTGAACAATGTCTAATTAAGTTAGAGAAAATTTCAACTGAATATAATCCTTCTGATTTGGGAACTAAGGTTCTACCCTTAAACAAGTTTAAAAACTGTTTGAATATTCTAAACATTGTTTGAAGGGTATCATTTTTAGAAGATTCTAACTGAAATTATTTTTGGGTACTAATTTCTGTTTTTGTTTTTTTACAGCAGAATAAGAGCAAATGAAACAAGTAGTAATCTAGCCACTAGAAATTGCCAAGAAGTGTTCAGCAAGGTGGAGATTGTTGAGCCCAAAATAAAAGTGCCTCACATTCTTGGCCCCTCTAAAGCTATTGGGCCGGGTTTATTGAAATGGTCTTGATCCAATTACTAAAAGAAACATGTTCTCTTGAAATGCGATTTCTGCCTTCTTTGAAGATATGATCTGGTCATACATCTGGCCATCTCCTCACCATTGATCAATAACTTTTTGACTTACTTGATTAAAACATTTTGGACGCTTCATTTTCTCTTCGAGAGAGATATATTTTGAGTGCCTTCTAGGGTTTCTCTTTTTCTCTCAAACCACCGATATTTTCTGAGTGAAAATTACTTCTGTAAATCTAAGTGATTTTGATACTACACTTGATGTATAATTATGATACTGCTTCGTGCGAGTTTTTGGTGGTGTTGTGATAGTTGTGTGTGACGCGAGATCAAAAACAGTGAAGAAACTTTGTGTTTCTTGGTACATTTGTAACGTTCTTGGTTCTTTTTCTAGTGGATCTAGAGCTAAATTTACTTTGTATATGCTCAATGTGGTGAGTAGGTCATAAAACTGAACATCCGGGCCTTTGTGGCGAAAAAATCCTTCGTGTTCAATTTCTATTTTTCTGCAAATTTAATTTTTCAGTGAATCTTGCGATAATCGGTATTCGTTTAACCTCTTGAGAACTTACAACCTCATTGGTAAAAACTCTCAAATTTCACAAGTATAATCTCCTAGTTTTCATTACCTCTTTCCTTCAACACCCAACAAATTTGATATAAGACCGTAGGAAGAAAATAAAAGCCATATTCAACCAAAGCATGTATCAGTTTCTCTGCTTGCGCAGAAGCAGCGCTATCAGAATTGAATACACATGCTATTATGACAGCATCTTTTGATCTATCTGTTCTGTTATGTCCTGTTCTTTTCATTGCCCAACAGAAAATTGCCAAATGTTATTTGTATTAATTGTAGCAGCATATTTTCTATACAAATAGCAGATCTCAAACATGTATTGTAAAAAAAAAAAAAAAAGGTTGAACCCCAACCTTAGGGGCCCCCACCGACCCTGCCCTGGGCCATCGTGGAGGAGGTAAATCGCAGGATGTGCCTCCCAGGAGTCAGGGTGGAGAGCACATGGATAGGCCAAGGCTGTTAACCCATATGGTAACTCCCGCTTGCAACAGAGCCAATTCCACCTTGCGGGGAATCGAACTCTGCACACTGCCGCGCTGAGCCCTATCCGCCCTCCCCTTTACCACTGGGAGATATGCCCTGGGGGCCAAACAAGTATTGTATCATAGTACCCGTAGCCGAGCATGTGTTGGGTGTTGATCCAATTTACATGAAGTGATGCAGTTGTTCCTACATGTGACCAAATTCCAAAACTTATTGTCGTTAATTGAAAACATAAAAACCTCATAAAATTATTATTTTTTAATTGAATTTTTACTTATTTGTTGTGAAAATAAACACCCAACTGCATAGCAAACATGTGTCTAGTAAAAACTGAACCAAATCCAACTTCGACCATTAAGGTAGACCCAATTTTATAAAGCACAGACACTCATATCAAGACTCTACATCCATTTTCAATACAATTATGCCTCTTATACACTGTCGGATGATAGCAGTGTTGACAATCTGTCTATGTGTAGAAATTCTGGCCATTGATTGAAAACATTATTTTTAAAATTAAGATATAAAAATTTGGCAACTCACATAATGTCAAATAAATTGTCAAATTAATGTATATATAGCATGATTGTATCCAATATGCCTTGTGTTAAATTAGCTGCCAACACTACGACAATACTTCCAAGATGTGTACTACATGGACTTTTATTTTTATTTTTCCCTCCTAACACGAGTAATATATTATATATATAAATTAAACTTTGGTATGGATTAAAACAAAAATATTAATCTAAATCAAAATTAACAATTAATTTTAACTACGTATTTTATAAACGAGTTAAATGTCATTTTTATATAATCCACTTGGCTGGGTTCTAACTTTATATGAATCCTTCGATTGCGTAGGGTAAAAAAAAGGGAAGAAGAAGAAAAAGTTATTTTAGTATGATAAATAGCTACTCATTCTTATAAAAGACTCCACAAACAAAAATCAGAACTGAAAATTGTTTCAATTTTATTACAAAATAAAGATACGATATACAAACATACAATTTTTTAAAATTTAAATTAACATCCCAATACTTCCATGTCCTACATTTTATTTTTTTAAAAACCCTGTATTTGTATCCTACATTTTTAAAAAACCTCGTGTCAACATGTCCATGCCCAGCTCTTAGTGTCCTTGCGCACTCGTATAGGGGAAATTTTACAGGATGGTATACAGGTGCTCACGTGGTGGAGATTGATTTGTTGGTTTAACTTTGTGTTTTGTCCAAAATCTAATGAAATTGTGCCACCTGTAAACCAGTCTATAATTTTCTGTGCACATATAGCATCACTCTAAATAAAAGCCAATAAAGTACATAACAATGCATTTCCATACTGAGTTATAATTTAAAATCCAAATCAAATACTGTAGTCTATATCATAAGCTAAACAAATTCATAAGAACATTCCTCATGTAACTAACATAATCAACTTAATGGTTTCAAGGACCTCTTCTCAAACAAGTTAATTATTTTTCAAGAAACTGAAAATCTGCATGAATTACCATATTCTTGGCCATCTGCATTTCTAAGTCAACTTGTGAATGGTTTTCATATCAGCTGCTTCGCTCAGAGTCCCTTTCTCCACATGATCCCACCACTTGAACAGGAAGTTGTCAACGACTAGTCGGAACCATGGGGACAGCTTAATACCACCCTCACCAGCATCTGCTTTTCTCAACAGCTCTTTCAACTCTTCTTTATTCACGTACTTGATATCAGCTACCTCATCGGGATTCGGGTTGACATTAACATCCCGAACAATGAAGAGAAGGTAATCAACTACAGAAAAAAATGAGGTGGATTAGACAATACCACATACATGAGCGCATGTAGAGACAACGAGAAAACAACAAGTAAACGCTTGGTATGTCAGCATTATAATAAGGGAAGTGCTACATGTACATAATTGTGTCCATAATTACACATGGCACTGAATCCAACCTTTAATAAATCTCACACATGCACATTAACAATCGGATGATTGCTACATCACATTATGAATACATCAACTACAGAAAAAAATGAGGTGGATTAGACAATACCACATACATGAGCGCATGTAGAGACAACGAGAAAACAACAAGTAAATGCTTGGTATGTCAGCATTATAATAAGGGAAGTGCTACATGTACATAATTGTGTCCATAATTACACATGACACTGAATCCAACCTTTAATTTAAATCTCACACATGCACATTAACAATCGGATGATTGCTACATCACATTATGAATATCATTATGTGCAATAATTATGTACAAATAGAATTTTTCTTATAATAAACAAGATTTTTTCTTTTTCCTTTTTTTTTTTTTAATAATACTATCGATGACCATCCCATCTTACAAAACACCGCACTAAGTGACTGTTTTGTTATAAGCTATGAAGATTGATAATTAAAGTGTCTGTGACAACAAAAGATCACTATCACACAGAGCTTGAATATAAATCAAAGTACGTATTATTACGTTCATGCTCTCCCCACTTTCCATCGGATGGTGCTTTGTACAGGATGCGGCCCAATGGTGTGAACTGATCAACTGGGACGTCTTCAGCAGGAATACCCAGTTCATCCAAGAGCTTCCTTCGGGCAGCATTCCTCACCCCTTATATTGGAAATTCAAATACGGTGAATAAAAAGATAGGCAATTATTTCTGCAATTGAAATAGAACAGAATAAATACCAAGTGCATTCTCAGGGATAAGCTCAGACTCTCGGTAAAGAGGGTGGCTGCAGCAGGTGTTCGTCCACACCAAAGGAAAGGTGACTTTTGTTGCAGATCGTTGCTGCCATTAACAAACAGAAGCAAAAGTGTTAGCAAGCCATCAGCATAGATTATTACAGTTTCTTACTTGGGAATTCCACACACCATTCTAAAGTTGCCAGTCAAAAATTAAGTTCCCTCGGTGGATTTCACTAAATAAGACATTTTTATTTGAAAATTTTGTCAAGGGTAAATAGGCTTGACGAATTGAGAAGAAGCAAAAGAAAAAGAGAATAGCCATGGTGATGAAGCCAGTCTGGGATAATGACTGATGCACACACTTCATACTCACCTGTAAATGTGTTTCTACTTCTGTCACAAGCATAAAGACATACAAACAGTTATTATTGTGTTCATAGAGCTCATAATAACTGTCAATTATCAAAAGCGATTGGACACATATCTTACTTTATATAACTATTAGTAATCAATAATAATCTTTGTGTTTAAATAACTAAATGAAGTGCCCACAGGACAATAGGAAGAATATTTTCAGCTAATCAAAAATTTGTAATCTGCTCGCATGCCAACGTCATTTACTATAGCTCAATTTTTTTATGATAAGCAAGCACGCATACAGATCTGATAGCTTCCAGAGCACTATGCTCAAAACCTTATACGCTGCATTTGAAGCTTAACTAATGTATATAGCCATGAAATAGCATTCCACACTTTCAGATGAATGTCTCATCACGAGCCACAAAAATGATCTATATATTGTCTACTTCATGATTGAAGATTGTGGGCAATAACTATGGTTGTCAAGAAGCGTTTAATTTGGTAACCCAGAAGCAAAGACCACTAAATTTGCATTTCTCCATAAACCAATCCAAGCATAGTTTCAAACAGTAATTATATAGTACACAGTTGTAAGTCAAGAGTTAATCACTTCCCAGAAAGTTAGTGTGAATCAACTACTGTCACACTTTTAAGTCTAACATCTGGACTAGGAAGCATGGCATACCATTAACTGCCATATAATCTTAGAATTCAACATGATTTAAGTGGAAGAATTGAAATTAAATCTCTATTGTTGCATTTTATAAGAGGTTGCATCAACTTGTCTTTCAACCTTCTAACATTCTTAATTTCCCATTCTTACACAGTATTTGTAGCTCTGATATAGAACAAACAGGGAAAGCAAATGATCTAGTCTTGGCTTGATGAAATTTGAAACAAAGAACTGGAGGTTCAGGATAAGCATGTCGAACTGGAAGCTAAAGAATTGTTTATCTGCAAAGTAAACGAAAGGATTGAAAGAAGAAAGAAGGTTTTTCAGACACCAGTTAAGGTAGTAATATCGAGGAAGGTTGCAGGCGGAGCTGGAGACTGGTCAAGGTTTTAGAAAGTAAGTAATAGTGAGAGGGCTAAAGTAGTCAATGCAGCTCTTGCATAAGTTACGTTTACACACTGCCTCGCATGTTCAAAATAATAGTACATCTATGTTTGGCCCATTTATAAAATGTTTATAAACAATCAAGTCACTTCTTATTCCACCATTCATTTCTAAATTCTAACTATATATAATTTAAACTGTTGATAAACACTTCCCAAACATGCAGCAACAGTTCGTTTTCCTCGCACACAAAATTTTGTTGTTAGTCATTCTGGGATATTTAATTTGAATGAAAGGAAGCTTTACTAAGAATTTCTGTTTTATAATATTTCCCAATATATCTGATAATATTTTTTGTACATTAAATCCCATATATTTTCCTAAAAATATTATAACATATCATTGAGATGCATAATTCTTGAAGGAAAAGATAAGCTTTTAAAATCCAATTAGGCTCCTAGTAGCATAATGCATCCAACACCCCTATTGACACATACCTGAAGCAACAGTTCATATTTTGTGTTAAAGAGAAACACACTGAAAGCTCTGTGCAACAAATTTTCCGATTCAATCTTCTCCATCAGGTGACCTGCATGTTAGAGATGTAGAAAAGCCAGCACTATAAATAAATTTGATCTACATCAAGCAGAAGAAAGTAGAGGTCATAAAACATGTGGCAACAAAAGCCTAAAAGACAACAATTCAAGGAAACACAATATCCAGTTGCAAAGTCACATAGAAAGAATAGACGAAATAAAACTGTAGCCTAGAAGGCTAGCATTGTCAATTGTCAGTTCGGGAATAACGGGATGACAAAACTTTGTCTCAGTGATAACATTGAGTAACATAAAAGAAAACACGAGACAAAATCCAATTTTAACCCAAAGTTCAATTTAGCAAGTGAACAAAGAGTACAAATTTTTAACCTATTCTATTAGTGACGTCGATAAAACCCAATTTCTATCATATTCTCAAGGTGTCTGAATTACTTGTATAAAAAGTACTATTGTTAGATTATGGGTACATCTAGGGACGTCAACGAGCCAAACTAAGCCAAGCCCAGCCCAGCCCGAGCCTAAAACTTTCGGCTCGAGCTCGGCTTGGTTAAAATGGTCGAACTTTTTTACGAGCCCGAGCTTTTGCTAGGCCAAAAAATTTTGGCTCGACCCAAGCTTTCGGCTCGGGTTTTTTTTTTTCCTGGGCTTCCTTGGCCCTTTTTTTTTTTTTTCCCCTCTTTTGTTCGCTGCCTTTTTAAGGCAGCAAATTCTGCCTTTCTAAAGGCAGAATTATTGCCTTTTTAAAGGCAGCCAATTGCTGCCTTTAAAAGGCATTTAAAGAAAGCAATTGGCTGCCTTTTTAAAGGCAGAATTCCTCCTTTTTTTTTTCGGGGGCTCGTGGGCCGGCTCGGGCTCGGACCTTGTCCTCAAAATGGGGCCCGGCCCGAGCTTCGGCTTGGTTGCTCCGAGCCACGAGCCATTTACCATGGTTTTTATGACATCAGAAGTGTTGCAAACATCACTGTCCAAATCTTTTCATGGTTTTTCTATCAAGAAGAGGAAAATCTTTCAACTCTTAGATATTTGATTCCCCCATCTTTATGTGTAGTAAAGTATATCATTTACCATATAATATTATTTTATTGACCACAAGCAAACAAAAATAAAATCCATGGGAGTTTTTGAAATGTTCAAATGATGAAGATCTGAGAATAAAACCCATTTTAAACGAATGTTGTAAAATGCCGTATGCTATTAATGTCATATAATTTTTCCTTTTTATCCTAAGAAACTACGCCTGTGTTTAGTTCGGATAAAAACTAGATTTTTAGTAGATTTTAATCAAAGTTGGTGAAATGTGTAATTGAAAAGTTGATAACATTATAATCCCATGAAATGCGTGATTAAAAAAGAGTTTTCGAATTTTTTTTTCAAGAAATGAGGGAAAAAACAGGGGTTAAGGATCCTTCATTTATTGGTGTAACCCTTTTAGGTCATTAAGTAGTGAGACCTCTATGCCTAATAAAATTAAATATCATGTATATGTAGAACTGTCAACTCGGGATTTGTTCAACCATGTCTGCTGTGAAATTACAACTAATCAGTAGTTAAACAACAAAAATTTTCCTATGAATTTTTCGAAGGTAAAAATGTAGGTCACTATCCACAAAAATTTCATAGGTTTTACAGTGTGATCCCCAGAAAATCTGTAGTTAAAAGTGTGCGTTGTTTACCTATGAGACTTCCGTGAGTAAATCCATGTTTTTAAAACAAAAAAAAAAAAAAAAAAAAAAAAAAAAAAAAAAAAAAAAAAAAAAATTCCGAGCCAAACCCCTAATGTGAATGCAATATCAAATGCCAGCATAACCCAGTACGCAAGCAAAAGTTATAAAGTTTGAAGCACAACTTTCGATAGAACATTTCGAAGGTTTTGTTTAGATACTGTATTTCAGTGCGGTAAAGGAAAGAACAATGACAAAAACATTCTCTCCCTTTTTTTTTTTAATTTCTTCTGAAAGCTCTAGATTCTCTTTTCAATTTATTACGAGGGGAAACGTGGGAATTCGATTTTGACTGTTTTTTTCCCCTTCCTTGCCACTGACTAAATCCAGGAACCAAAAGTGTCTGAAATCATGATCCAATGAATGTAAGTCTAAAGAATTGATTAAAGCATGGAGAAAATGATAGATAATCATGTATGGTCAGTATCTTACTAAAATAAATTACGAGGTTCCTGATTCTGGGCATTCCAATTCCAGAATCTAATAAAAGGAGGAGTTATCAAACCAAAATAGGATCCTAATAGGAACGGTTAAGAATTGATTGTTTTTATTAGTGACTAATGTAAAATCTCGTATCAGAAACTGATCTAAATAGTTTCTGTGATCAAATCAAGATAATCGAATAAATTATTCTTTGTTGAATGTGAAAATCCCAACTTACAATTGTATTTGGTATCATGACCGATGACACTATCATTCTCATCCACCAAAATACACCTGCAGTGTGCCAGAGCCATCAAAAGTGAAATAACTGTTACTAATTGACACGACAGCAGAAGATCTAATAAATCTTCAATCTGATGTAAAAATAAAAAAAGTGTGGGGGGGGGGGGGGGGGGTGGGGAAGGGGGGCTACAGCCCAGCCCAGCCCCCCCCCACTCCCCCAATCCGTCTCTGTCTGATCAATGAATAAGGTGATAAACTAGATTGTAGATGAACCTCATAAAGAAAGATCGCAACATGTACTAATCAATTATATATCTTATATACTTACAAAAACAAATGAGATTTTGCTCGTAAATTA